TGGTACTGTAGTTGTTTTAAAGGTCAGTAATACGAATGAGATACTTGGTGGTTATAATCCTCTTATCTGGAAAGTTGGTATTAATATTAACGAATATGCACCAACGGCTGATAGCTTTATTTTCTCTTTAAAAAACGGAAACCTGAATCAATCTATACTTAGTCGTGTAGATAAACCATCAAAAGCAATTTCTTATGGTGGTATATCACAAGGTCCATGGTTTAGTGGTATTGACCTAGGAATGGGAAAATATCCTAAATTTTCTCCTAAAGAATGGCATTGCGGTAGTTATTATTATGAAAAACCAATTGGAAATATGAACGATTGGTTTTATATAGATGAATATGAAGTATTTCAAATTTGTAAAATTTAAAATATTCGATTTAATAAAATAGAATACACTCTACCTCGTTATAACGGACTCCGATATTGTGGATACCTTATTATAACGGAGTAATATCTAAAACAATTTAAAATTATTATTATTATATTATATAACATTATAACGGATATTCTGGATATAATAAACAATCGCCTAAAGAGTCCGTTATAACGAGGGTAGAGTGTATATTGATTTTTCCAAATATATATTTCTATTGTTCATTAGTGAAACATTTTTTCATTACATATAAAAAAAAAAATAATTTGTAAATAAAATTTCGTACAGATAAATGGCAAAGATAAAATTTAGCGCATATTAGAGTTGTAACGAAACCCGAAACTATATAAAATCCCGAAACCTTTTCCGAAACTCTACTATACTGAAAGTGTTAGAATTTTAATTTTAGACTTTAAACATAAAGTACATGATAATTAGATTGCATTTCAGAAATGTTTTGGTTACTTTATAGTAAATGTACATTCCTGCATTATAATTTGAACATATAACAAAACCATTAAGTTTTTAAAATAAATTATATAACCAATTCTAAATATAATTGCTTTTATCTTTTTATATCAGATTTACATCTTTAATACAATAATAATTATTAGGTTCAAACCGAAAAAAAGCTGCGTGAAATTATAAATTCACTAATAAGAATTATTATAAAATGCACTTATGATGATTAAATAAAGGTATCCAAGTTTATCAACCCTTTCTTAAATGGAAAGTTAATATTAAGCGCTTTTTGTAAACCGCGTTCAAATCTTTTAGAAGTTTGATTTATTCATCAATTTAATTTTTCTAATATGATAAAACCTCGTTAGATTTATTCATTTTAATGCTCATAAAATATCATGCCTGGAACTCTAAATAAAATAACATCAATAACTGATAACTTATTAAAGCACGTATGGAAGTATTTCAGATTAACCAAAGATTAAATGTAATTATATAATGTATCTTCAGTATACAGTTTTGTGGTGTACTCTTCGGTAGAAAATACTATCTTTTAGTTCCATACCATATAGTTCAATATTTCATTGTAAAAAAGAATAATTTGTTTTTCCATCAAGTTGTCAACAAATTTAACATCTCATCAACTTGGGAGATCATTATCGCATAAAACGTATCATATACACTGTACCTTGAATTTAAATTACTGTACTATTATTATTATTAACGATAATGCATAGACCTTTGCTTTCACTCATAGTCCGTAACGTTATGAGTAATGAGGATTGTTATAAAAATTTTGGCAAAGTTTTATTAAGCTTTCCCTTTTTAAAATTCATATTTTCAAATGAATATTGTAGTAGGTTCGAAACCTTGGAACTGGGTTTGAGATTCAGATGAGAGTTTGAGACCCCAGCTGAGGTTTGAGATTCTGGCTGACCAAGACGAGGATTTGAAACCCTCAAAACTACAGTCAAAATATATAAATATGACATAGTTAGAACTAATTACGAAAAAGAAGCACATACGGTAAATAAGCACATTTATAATAAAAATTTGTGTTCTGTAAATAAGCACACTTATAGTGCTATATTAGTCGATGTGATG